AGAAAGATTAACCTGCTGCCATAAAATCAATCTGCTGCATCTTTTGCTATTGCTTTGTCTTTAATATAATGTAATCCCCCCAAGAGTCACAATCCAATAGAAAAAAGGCTGTAACTATAAACTACTATTTATATCTTCAGTAGGTTATGTATAAAATATGGTAATTATAATGGTTTAATAAAATTTATTAGATTTTTGGAAATCACAAAGCGACATATGATGAACAATTAGCAAAAGTACTACATTTGCCACAAACACATCACCTTAATTTCGTCGTTTGCATTGACTTTGTAAGTAACGTAGTTGCGCAAATACTTAGGCCCAAACCCAATTCTATTTTTGTATCCCTACCCCTTCCTCTTCCCCTTCCTCTTGGCCCTTATAATCGAGGGTTAAGGGGAAGGGCTTCAAAATATACCCCTAAGAATTGGGACATCACTACAGCACCCGCACACGTCATCATATGTCATCATGATCTCATGCTTCATGCGAGATCACATGATCAAAACTTCTGTAGTGATTCCAGTTGTGCTATTTTTTATTATTTATCTTCAGGAAATCAATGAAGGCATATATTATGTCATCATAACGATCTAATGTGCAATAAGATCGTAACAGTACTGTGTATTTACACTGTGGCCATATTTATCTATATAAACAAACCAAAAACAACATTAACATTACAGCCCAGCCACTAGACATTACTGAAAGGGTATTGGAGTGTCATCGAGTGTCAGAATGTTGTGGGACTGTTGTACTGGAGTTATTATTAGGGATTAAAGATTGCAAAATGTAGCAATTTTAGATTTTTTTTTTGCGTTTTTTTTAAAGCATGATGATAAAACATGAACGCGATTATGAATATATTAAAACGTGTTTGTTTGTCGTAAAAATTCGTAATAATGACAAAAAATACTAATTTGTGGATCTCCTTACTTCCGGGTTCAGCAATGCTGCCTCTGTGGCTGGTGTATTCTTGGAATTTTTTTTACCCCTTGGTTTCGAGTGTGGTTCTGAAAAATCTTCGTTCGAAGGGCTATTCACCCCTTCCCCTTAGCCCTACGCCTTCAAGCTAAAGAGAATTGGGACACCCCTACCCCTTGGCGTGCACGTGCAAAACGAGGGGTAAGGGGAAGGGCTAAGGGGTAGAATTGGGATTGGGCCTTAGGCTCAATCCCAAATCTACCCCTTATCCCTGGCATAGTGTGAATAGGCCCTTAGACTTCCAACCCGGGCTCATTGTGGAAACGTAGCCCAGCGGACGTTTCTGCGGACCGCGATTTATGTCCCGGGAGGTATGTATTCGAGCGTTTTTTTGTTTTCGCGGATCCGCGAGAGGCCGCTGTGCGCGCTTTTTTGCGTCTCGGGCGGGCGCCTCTCGGGAGTGCGCGGCGTTCGCGCCCGCGCCGTTCTCGCGCGAATAGCCGCCGGATCGAAAAAAAAAAAAAAAAAAGCAAAAGCCCCCGTCTTCGATTTCTACCGCGTTTTCGGATCCCGCCGCGTTCTCGCCCTTATTTTGCGGATTCCGTTTTTCGTCTTACCTGATTTCCGGAACCCGCCGTTCCCCGGACTCGATCCCAGTCGTCGTCCACCGCGGCCGGCTCCGGCTTGTCCTCCTCCTCCTCCGGGGCCTCCGCTCCGCCGACGCAACGCTGTGAGCAAGGCGGACAAACTGATTGCATCGGGAAAGCCCTCCACTCGGAGGCGAGCCGTCGGCCAGCGAGCGCGAAGAGGAGGGGCGGAGCGGCGCCACACCGCCCCGCAGCGTTCGCTCGAAAAAAACCAAACGCGGCCTTTACGTACCTCCGGCCACTTAAATCGCGGTCTCCAGAAACGTCCGCGGGGCTACGTTTCCAGAATGAGCTTGGGTTGTAGACTTCTCAAGGGGGTATACTGGTGGAGCAATTCCGATAAAAAAGTGGTTGAAAATGCCTGTTCTTTGCCTGTGTTTTATTTCACTTGTATAGTCTTATTGTGTTTTTTACAAACTTAAAAGACGTAAGGACATAAAAGAAGTTAAAACATTGGATAAATTGGATAATTTTCTTTTCACGTGATCAATTCTTAATCCTTTAGATCAAGGGTTCTTAACTGGTTTGGTCGTGGGACCCACATTTCTACATGGTCATCAAGCTGTGACCCAAATTTTTAGAAACTATAATACTTATATTATATTATAATATATAATATATTATATCATATTATAATATATTTTAGGAATTATAATTAATTTTTATTTATTTGACACAAGTAGTGACAGATAAATCATTAGAAAATCACAAAGACTTACAAATAAATAAATGAAATTACAACACTTTATTGCTGTCATTTAACAAAATGTATCAAATTATAGAAATATTACAAAGTAAAAATGACAAATACTGTCAACAGTGGTTAGGGTTAAGATAAGTTTCACCATGAACTAAACTGAACTGTTAATAAAACATGTCTGGTTTCTAAAGGTCTTGTTAATTTAGATGGTTTCGTGCTCTCTTGTGAGAGCACCTCGCTACTTATAAGTATGACACACTGAGGCTTTAAGTCTTTTTTGTCATCAATATATGTAAATCCATACTTTACATATTCAGGGTCGTACCTGCGCTTCGACATATTTGTTGCTATAATTAAGTGAAATTTCACATGTCAAACAGTAGGGTTGTCGTGCAGGCATTTCAAAATAAAAGTCAAAATAAATAAAAAATAAAATTTTTTTTTTTTGAACACACACTCCGGGACTCACTAAAAATGTTCCCGCAACAAACTTTTGGGTCGCGACCCACCAGTTGAGAAACACTGCTTTAGATAATACTTTTCTTTAAAACCTAGTTACTTTCAATGATCTACAATTATTTTAAACATAATTGATAAAAATAAAAATGAATATATTTATTTTATTCATTCAATTTTCTTTTCAGTTTAGTCTCTTTATTAATCAGGGGTCACCACAGCGCAATGAACCGCCAACTTATCCAGCATATGTTTTACGCAGCGGATGCCCTTCCAGCTGCAATCCATCTCTGGGAAACATCCATACACACTCATACTATACGGACAATTTAGCCTAACCAATTTACCTGTACCAAATGTCTTTGGACTGTGGTGGAAACCGGAGCACCCAGAGGAAACCCACATGAACGCAGGGAGAGCATGCAAACTCCACACAGAAACGCCAACTGACCCAGCCGAGGCTCGAACCAGCGACCTTCTTGCTGTGAAGCGACAGCACTACCTACTACCTAGTGTGCACCTACTGTGTCGCCCATAAAACATATATACATTTTAAAACTATAACAAAAAAGAATGAACCGTCTACGCCAAATATATAGGAGTTTATCTGAAATAAAAGAAGTCAATTACCTATAATTTCAAAGTCAGTGCAATGAAACATCAAATTAAGTCAATACTTGCTCACAATCCCTTTTCATTCAAGTAGACAAAAGCAGACAAAACTAAGTCCTATATCCATTGGCTGCAAACGTTTTACTTGACTGTTTACGTCTACTCACGCTGTAAAAAGCTATTAGTTTGCTTTGATTAATCTTGCTTTACCCATTGCTTTTAAAGCAATTTGTTGATTTTGTAAGATAATAGGTTTAAATGAATTGTGTGCATAATTATAAACATTAAGTTAAAAATTAACTTAACTCTTTCAAGTTACAATGGATTTCCTCAATATTTAAAGCCATGGGTTTGCTCACTTTTTTTAAGTAAAGTAACCTATTACTTTTTATAGTGCAGCATCCTTATTTCTGCTCAGAATAAAAAGGATTGAAGTGTGTGTGTGTGTGTGTGTGTGTGTGTGTGTGTGTGTGTTGTGACAGAAAGAGAGATTAATAAAGAAAAGGTAAGAGTAAAAGCAGAAAAGTCTGAATATTTTGATAAAAAAGGACATACCTGTTCCCAGGAGAAAAAAAAAGGAAATAGAAAAAAAGGATGTCACAGTCAGCGGGGGCAAGATATGAGCTGCGTTGTAAATCTGTTCCCTTGGGGAAAAGAGAAAAGAAGAAAAGAGACTATTGATAGAAAGAATGTAAGAGAGTGTTCAGAGGGTTAAACAGAAGGAAGTAGCTCACACAAGGGACGAGGAGACATAAGGAGGTAAATAACCTAAGAGGAGAAGATGGAGATAATAAAGTTAAGTGAGCATGTAGATGAAGAGGGCGATTACAGCAGTGAAGAGGATCATAGCTGTCTTTTCAGACACACAGAGTTTGCTTTGAATCAATGTTATCGTCTGTTCCTTCTGTCTTTATCTGCCTTCAGATACAAAGACTAGTAGAGTCATTATCAGTCAGATGAATAGAGTCTCATGAGGATTGTGTTTGCTTGTGTTGTTTGAAGGTTGTTGGATAAATAATCCACATCTACATGAAGAAAAAAGATTAACATGGTATATTTTTGGTATATTTGGTTTGTTCTGTAGACAATTGAAGAAAAAAATAGCTTAAATGGGCTATGAACCCCAGAGATGGGTTGCGGCTGGAAGGACATCCGCTGCATAGAAACTTGCTGGATAAGTTGGCGGTTCATTCCGCTGTGGCGACCCCGGATTAATAAAGGGACTAAGCCGACAAGAAAATAAATGAATGAATGAATGAATAATAATTCTGACTTCAACTGTGTGTGTGTGTGTGTGTGTGTGTGTGTGTGGCTTAGATTGAGAACCACTGAGTTAAGTACTTCCTTCTGCTTTTACTGCCATTATAAAGGAAAATGATAGCTTTAACATCATAACATATTTAGGCCTCAGCAGCACTATTGAAATTCTCACCTGCATACTAAGAAGGAGGACCAGCCGACATCCAGATGTGATAAACCTGTTTTCAAAAAGCCAATAACTGTGGAGAATATGAACAAGTATCAGAACAGAATTGAAATTCAAAACACCTATGGAGACGGCTGCTGCTGCTGCTGCTGTTTCTCATGTTAATGACTCACTGCCACTTCACTTATTCTGTTTGTTTTCCTTTTATTAACCTTGCTGTTTTAAACTCCCACAGGTTGTGTGTGCAGTGGGCACATTTGAGGTTCAGATTCGGCAGTGGCAGAACCCACAGGGCATTCTCCAGAGCGGACAGTGCTGTGACCCCCAGTCCAGCGGGGGGCAACGCTGCTCGTCAGGCGATCAGTGTGAGACCTTCTTCAAGGCCTGTTTGAAGGAGTACCAGGCTCGGGTTGCACCAACTGGCACTTGCACATACGGCACTGGCAGCACACCTGTCCTGGGTGGAAACTCTCACTCTTTACATCATCATGGAAATGAAGGAAGTGACAGCAGAAATGGGCGAATTGTTATCCCATTTAAATACGCTTGGACAGTGAGTACAAAACTAATTTATTTATCAGCTGAGGTGACAATGTAATTTGTACATCACATGTTGTTGAAAGCTTTAGTAAAGATGTTTGGGTGATGCAGGCTTTTCTGATCTGATACACGGACAATTCTACGTGTTTGAACATATGAGTAGGGTATTTTTCTAAAGGGCAGCTGTCATGTCACCGTTAAACTGTCAACTCAGAATGAAGGTTGAGACAAAATTTTGCTCACATCCCTTCTGAAGACTTTTTATATTTTATTTAATAACTTGTATGTAATAATTAAATATAATTTAATAATTTACAGCTTATTTATTTGTATATCCTTTCTGCTCTCCTATTTATTTGCATTTATTTCCTCTTGCTCCTTGTGGCTTTCCCTTCCTCTGTCTTTGCTTAAGGGAAACATTTATTCTCTTAGCATCACAGAGCAAGTTTGCTTACACTTTTGTTTTTAATCAATCTAAGGAATATGATATTTACTAGTTGTATGTGCTTTTACGATAAAGGGATAGTTCACACAAATGGGAAAATTCTGTCAACATTTGCTCACTGCTTTGTCAACGAACAACACAGAACACATTCATCTTCATAGCTCAATGAATTCATATGTAATGAAAGCAGAGACATTTCTGTCTTTCTATTTAACATTGTTTGTTGTAATTTAGAACAAATAAGTCTCTAGCTGTTTTTTATTTTTCAAAAGAAACAAAAATCTAAATGAATCAGGTGGTTTAAATCTTCTACAGTCAGATGTTAATGGTTTTGCTTAATTAAGCTTCTGATTAGCATATTTTTCCAATCTTCAATTTTTAAAGTAAATGAAAACTTTATTTATTAGAGAATTTTCTGTCACTTTGGTGCGTTTCTCACAACACTAGTGCATTTCTGAACGACAGTTAATGCATTTTTCAAAACAATAAGTACAAACTGCAAAACCTAGCTGATAACCATGCAACAGCGCGTCAAATGCTCAAAATGGATAGTTCATTCCTCAAAAGTAAGTATTGATGTGTCAAAGTGTCAGTGTCATCAAAATGAAAAGTCCTGACACCAATGTTTATAAACAAGATGGCTTTGTCATGGTTTCATTATGATAGTTTACTCTGTAAATTTTTTCAATGCAAAAAAAGTAAGATTTTGGTGACACTTCCTGAAAATGCTCAAGACAGCACTATATACTATTTGCACAGCCGTTTGAAAACTACAGTGAAGTTTGAGATCATTTAGTGCATTTAGTGAGGTATCTGAGTACAAGACACTGAATATGTATGTTTCCCTTTTTTAATGCATTTGCTTGTTGCAATTCTAATTTATTCACAACATTGTGCAAAAAAATGAATACACACTTACAGTTTTTCTCAGTCGCTTTGGTGCATTTCTCACAACATTATTTACATTTGCACAACAGTTAATGCATTTCTCAAAACAATTAATCATTTGTGCACATCCTAGTAGCAGTTTCTCATTCCTTCCAACAAATTGCAAATGCTTTTGGACATGCATCAATTGCTTTCATACAACTCTCTGCTGTTTATAACATTATCATTTGCTTATGTCATGTCAGTCAAAATTAACTAAACTTGTAAATGCTGAATAGTCATTCCAAATAAAACCTATAGTCCTCATTTCATTACTTGAGTCATTACATATAAAAAGGTTGAACTTGTTGTCAAAATCTGTTGAGCAAATTTTATTAAAAAAAAAATTAAATCTTAATGTTCCTGAAAATGTCTTCTAAATTGAACAATTTTCATAAATGATTCGCAGACCTGTGTATGTTGTAGGTTCAGTTCCAATATGTACTGCAATATTGTATGTAGTTGTGCACAGTTCTACCCAAAGGGAATTTATGTTTGTTGTAAAAAAGGGAGTATTTATTCTTGTGCACAATGCTGTGCAGGCATGTGCACACATAGGACTCAACCCTTTTTAGTCTTGGATACAAAGTGCCCTTCCAAAATGATCTGAAAAATGTGCCCCCTCTCCACAACTGTAAACAATACTGCAGGACATATCAGAACTGAACCTACAATACACAGGTCTGTAAATCATTCATGAAATTGTTCAATTTTTAAGACATTTTCAGGAAAATAAAGATTTACATTTTTTAAATAAAATTTGCTAGAAAAATTTTGACAACTAGTTCACCATTTTTGTATATAATGACTTAAGTAATGAAATGAGGACTATTAGTTTTATATGGAATAAGTATTCAGCATTTACAAGTTTAGTTAATTTTGACTGACATGACATAGGCAAATGATAATGTTATAAACAGCAGAGAGTTGTATGAAATCAATTGATGCATGTCCAAAAGCATGTGTTGGAAGGAATGAGAAACTGCTACTATGATGTGCACAAATGACTAATTGTTTTGATAAATGCATTAAATGTTGTGCAAATGTAAATAGTGTTGTGAAGAATGCACCAAAGCCACTGAGAAAAACTGTAACAGAAAAAAAGTGTCCCTAAAAAGCTTGTGGATCAACAGCGTGAGCAGGGGTGTTTTTAGGATTTTTATTTTAGGGGGGCTCAGCTCCTTATAAGGTAAAAAAATAAAAATAAAATAAGTAAAAAAAAATATATATATATATACCGATAACAATTTATTGATAAACACACCTCGTTCTCTCGCTGTCCACGGCTGTGGTTTGCTGATTGAATGTAAAACAAAATTAGGGGAGGAGTCGAATTCTGCCACCAATTTTTTATCAAATTTAAAGGGGAATAAGGTGATAATTTAGTCTACAGTTTATGAGCTAATCAAAAAAAGGTTTAAGGGGGGCTGAGTAGAAATATAGGGGGCTACAGCCGCCCTTAAATAGGCCTACCAACAACCATGAGTGTAAGTGCAAAGGCAAGATCATTCCCATCACCCCACAACAGTGCTTGGCTGAGATTGACTCTCAGAAATTGGAATTTGGGATGTGAAGGGAAGCTGATTAGGCTATTTAGGCATAGTTTTTGGGACCTTTTACTCATGACTTCATTAACTGAAGTTTAAGACAGGATCATTTTTATATTTCCATGCAACACATCGGGTTTTACTGCTGCCAATTTTACAAGTTTACATGTTTAGCTAATACAATATATTAAAATACATGCAACCTATAATAAATAGAGAGACAGAAATTTCTTGGTTTCTTCAAAAGTATACACCTTCATTTGTGCTTTTGAAGATGAATGAAAGTTTGAAATTATATGATGTTTAGCAAATGATGACAGCATTTTTATTTTTGGATCCCATGTCTGTCCCTTGTACAACTAGAATAATTGATTTGCTTCTATGCACCTGCAGCACATTTTGATCACACCTTTAATGTGCTTTCCAATTTTATTGACTTGCTGATATGGAAGTTTTCACTTCACCTTGATCTGACCTCAGTGGCATTACGCTGAGCATATGGAGGTAGAAATGCAGGCCAACTGTCGTTGAGATTGTAGACATGCTGTGCCAGGAGTCTTTAGTGAACCTTGCTGTGAGCACTGCGGTCAGTGTTTGGCTTTCTCTAGCCTGGCTCTTTAAACTGATTACACACTCATTGATTAGAGTGGATAGATCGAGTGTGTGTGAGAGAAAGAGAGCAAAAGATGAAGCTAAAAGATTGTAGCACTGCCTTTTGCTTTTAATTTTATGAACTGGTGTCTGGCTGGAGATAAGAATGTCTTTGTAACAATATTTGTATTGTTCTGGTCTGCTAATTTGACAAGCTGGTTTAATGCTTTGTATATTAGCATTTAGTGTTTCAGTGTCTCTCCATTTGTTTGTTCAAATAAAAAAAAATCCTTACCCCTCAAATACATTTAGCAAAAAAAAAAGTGTGTGCTTGTAAAAAAAACTGTGTAAAACTCTGTAATCGCCCTGATAATATATGCAACTGAAACTGACACAAAGAAACTCATGCGGGTCCAAGGCAAAACAATGTTTCCACTCAGTGCTGCCCCTACTTGTCTTTTAATGCTAAATGTAATGGTTAAATTACATTAAGATGAAAAAAAAAAAACAAGGTGGTGATTTGAATAATTTAATCTTGTGTAGTCAACTAAGGTGTTCAGTGTTGACTAGTAGTACCATTGATCTGTACCTTTTAGTCGACTAGACTCAAATCTTCAAATGCCATCCATTCATCCATCCATCCATCCATCCATCCATCCATCCATCCATCCATCCATCCATCCATCCATCCATCCATCCATTCATCTATCCATCCATCCATCCATCCATCCATCCATCCATCCATCCATTCATCTATCCATCCATCCATCCATCCATCCATCCATCCATCCATCCATCCATCCATCCATCCATCCATCCATCCATCCATCCATCCATCCATTCATCTATCCATCCATCCATCCATCCATCCATCCATCCATCCATCCATCCATCCATCCATTCATCTATCCATCCATCCATCCATCCATCCATCCATCCATCCATCCATCCATCCGCTATCAGCTGATCATCTGAGACCTTGGCATTCCTCTAGGGTGACAGCTTTTCACTCCTGCCACACTGCGAAGGAAACTCATATCGGCCACTTGTATCTGAGATCTTGTTCTTTTTTGGTCTGCATTACTGCTGTCACTGCACCAATGCACCTGTCAATCTTATGTTCCATCTTTCCTTCACTTGTGAAGATACTTTAACTCATTCATCTGGTGTAAAGACTCGCCTCCAACCTGGAGATAGCAAGCCATCTTTTCCAGTTGAGCATCTGGCCTCTGACTGGTGCTGATTCCCATCCTGGCTGTGTCACACTCTGTATCAAACTGTCCCTGTGCATGCTGAAGGTCCAGCTCCAGTGGAACCACCTGGACAACACATTCTGCAAATAGCAAAGCCCAAGTTTAGCCCAAGGCTGTACCTAGAAATTCAGTCCATAAAAATAATGACCACAACAGACATACCTGTCAACCCTCCCATTTTTCCCGGGATTCTCCCGTATTTTACAGTTCTATCTCGCTATCATCCCGTAAAGGTATGTTCATATATTTC